GTTCTACCTGTCCAGACCTCTCTTGTCCCGTAGTTGCTTCACTCCCCTCCGCAAATCCGGCAGTGAGGGCGGCCGGAGTGCCAGCCGCTGGTTAGACACCGTGGCTCTTAAGGGATTCTTGCCCGCCAGGAACCCCCAGCCTGATGTGCGAAACCGACGTGCCAGCAGGAGCAGTGGGGGGCCGGAGGTCCTGGCGGAGGGAGGGGGCCGCTGGGTGTGGGGGAAGACAGTGCCCTCTCTCGGAAGGGATGACCCCACCTGGGGAGGTCGGGATGTAGAGAGAAGAGCCTGAGTTTGGGGGTTTAAGAAACTTGGACTTAAGCAGTGCCTGCTACTTACTGGCTGCGACCCAGCCACTTAGCTGCTCTGCCTTTGTTTTGCTTCCTTTCTTCTGGAAAATACCTGTCCTGCAGCGTTAGGACCAGGAAACATGTGACACACAGCAGGTGCTCAGTGAAGAACAGCTAAGATTCTTTCTGCCTGCAGCCCAGGCTGGTCCTGAGGCTGGGCTGTGGCTCTTGGATAAATTGTGTGGGATAGGATTTCCGAGTGGTTAAGATTACAAGACCTGGCTTTGAATCCAAACTCTGACATTTATTACCTGTGTCACGTTCAGAAAGTTTCTTAAACATTCTTTGCCTCGGTTTCCTGAACCCATAGGTGGGGAAGATAGCTGCACGACTCTCACGGTGATCGTGAGCAGTGGCCAAGTTAATACTCTGAAAACGCTTAGAACATTGCCTTGCACAGCGCAAGCAAGTAAGAAAATCAATGCCGGGCCTCTCTGTAGAGATGCTGTGAGAGCACAGTGATGTCACACACGGTTAAGAACTTTGAATCCTCAGGAGCCCCTGCCCTGCTCACGTGGTAATGATGGGCAGTGCTTGGTGGTGGCCAGTGCTTGGTGCTCTTCTGAGCCCCGAGTGCTTAGGGAAAGACAGGATGCGGACTGCCCTCTTTGGTGTGGCTGATTTCCCACATCTGTGACACATGGCACCGGGCAGGTTTTGTGGCTCCACTGTCGCTCTGTGACACTGCTCCACATTTATGCATCTTTCCTGTCCTTCCTCGTCTCGGGGAAGCTGGTCGGTGAAAGTTGAAGGCTGGGTGATCCCGACAATTACTGCCTTTTTGAGCCTCAGCGATGCAGCATATCATAAAGCGATTCAGTCCTTGTCAGGTTCAAAATACTGTGTGTTCTGGCACGGTGCCAAACATAACACACCTGTTAGCATCGTGCAGTCTTGCTCCCAGCAATTAGGTGTGGCTTCTGCCGAGGTCCCGTTGCTTCACTGCTGACGCCTGGGTGTTGTGTTACAGTGTACAGCCTTCATTCCTGAAGCCCAAGCGGTGCTTGATCTGGCTGACCAGTGCCCAGAGCAGGTCCAGAAGGGAAGGTTCCCCGTTATTGTCATTGAAGGACTGGATGCCACAGGTAAGAGAAGTGTACCTTTTAGTTATAGGCAATGCAGTTAACCAACCAGCTGCATGAATAGTAGACAGGTCTTGACAAACAAAACTGTGTACAGGATTCAATCCATAAGCCTCCTATGAATCTCTAGTGTGTGCCAGGCGTGGAGGGAGGCTGGCCAGGAAGATGGATAATTTCTATGTAAGGTCATGGAGAGATGGGAGAGCTCAGGTGCCCTGGGAACACAGGAAGGCACAGGGTGCATCCTCGGTGTGAGAGACGAGGGGACGGAGGCACCGCGGGGAGAGCTTGAAAGGGTGGGCACCTGGATTGTTTTCAGCAGATAGGAGCTGCTCAAGAGAGGAAGGCAGGAGAGATGCTCCAAAAGAAGAAATAGCAGGGTGAAGTTGGAGATTGGAACCACCTGGTGTGTCCAGGAACTACAGGCAATGCAGAGGCCCCTTGTGGAAGCAAAATGTGGAAGAACTAGGGAGAGGCGGGCAGGAGCCTTTGGAACTGCCAAACGAGCATCAAAATCCAATGGATGTGCCCACATTTAGCCCAGAACACAATAGCAGAAGGGAGGCTCCGAGGGCAGCAGGGAATACCCAAGGACAGGGCGGATCTTGGACAACAACAGTGTCACATGTGTCAGCAGAGGAGTCAGAATCTGGGGGCCAATACAAAGTCTCTCATTAGTTTGTAAACAAGATGACTATTTTGTTTTTTCTCCCAAGCTTGTTAACACCCAACGGGGGAATCCTAAGTTCCTAAGGGTTGGCATCATTTTATAAAGAGTCATATTTAATCTGCTCCTTCAGTTGACAGGTGGAAATGTATGTCTTTGCTCTTTCTGAGTGAACAGTAACTTTGGGGAGTGATGTGTTGGCCATGGCTAAGATGTGCTCTACTTTGTATATGACCTGCAGGTAAAACCACGGTGACCCAGTCAGTTTCAGATTCACTCAAGGCTGTTCTCTTAAAGTCACCACCCTCTTGTATCAGCCAGTGGAGGAAAATTTTTGATGATGAACCAAATATCATTAGAAGAGCCTTTTACTCTTTGGGCAATTATATCGTGGCTTCTGAAATAGCTAAAGAATCTACCACATCACCTGTGATTGTGGACAGGTGGGTATAAAGGTGCCTTCAATTTGGCATTTTCTTCCTAACATATGAGTATGATTGTATGTGTGTGCATGTGTGTGTGTGCATATATATGTAAGGACACAGTGGTGTTTAAGTGAAACTGTATTATAATAGTAGGAATAATGTCTATGATTTGGCATTTGGCTAAGAGCATTACACATACTATACTAATATCTGGAATAATTATTGCTATGTGGACACTAAATTTACTGATGAGAATGTAGGTCTTAGAAAAGTCAAGTAACTTGTCACAATGGCAGAGCTGGACATAGCGTATTGGGGAGATTAATAAAAGTCTCTGCTTTGTAAGTCGAACTTTGACTTCGTTGGTTTAGTGGCTAATCCAGCAAACATTTATTGGGCATCTAACACTTGCCAAGGACTGCTCTCAATTTAGGGAATTTGATGGTAAATTCCCAGGGCTGGACAGTGCCCTGCTTTCATGGAGCAGACATTCTACTGAAGCAGAAGGGCGTAATCAAAAACGTGGACACATAAGATGATATCAGAGGAAGACAAATACTGTGAGGAGGGGAGATCAAGGTCACGTGGCTGAGGATGGCTAAGCCCCCACTAGATAGGGTTTAGGAAGACCTGAGTGAGGAGGTACCGTTGGCCTGAGCTCTGAATGACCACAGAGAGACACACGTGAAGATTCTGGAGTAACAGCAGTATGGGAGGGAGATCAGCAGAAACAAAGCCTAGACATGGGAAGAAGTGAACATATTCCAGGACCTGATTCCAAAAGGCAACTGGTCACTTGCGCACGCCCAGTTGCAGGGTTGCTGGTCCCAGCCAGTCCTAACCCGCTGGAGCTCCAGCTGGACAACAGCTGACTCCAGGTTCCTGCAGAACAGCTTGGGCAAGCATCTTAAGACTCCTGCATTGGAGATATTTCCTGTCTAGAGGTGGTGATGGGGTCTTGTCACTTCTTGTTTAGGCTACGTGGTGCTTATAGAATACGCAAGTTTTTGTAAAAACAATTAAAGTGAGCTTGATCAGTGAGGCAGTTAAAGTCCATTATTTATTAAGCAAGTTACAGTTTAATGGATCGAACTGCCGACTACCCGTGGGTTCGCGTGTGGACTCCCGGGAGTGGGACAGCAGGGCGTCGGGCTCACGAGTGCTCGCCCTGAGTGGGTGCTACAAAGAGTTTTCTAAAGTGGTTGAGACTGTTCACAGCGCCCTCTTCCACGCACATCCTGGTCAACATTTAGCTCCGCCAATCTTTCACTTCAACTTGTCTTGCTTTTCCGCTGTTCCCTGTGGGAAGGTCGGTCAGTTAAAAGCCAGTTGCTACACCTGGAAATAGAACTTCTAGCCCTGTCTTGAAATATCTTTCTGAAATACCCCATAGAGAGATACTCAAGAGTGTTTGTCGGGAATAAAGTGTGTGGTGGTGAAAGGGATGGGGGGTGGAGGGAGCAAGATGAAAATAGTAAACATTAGTTAGAAGGCCTGTGCTGTCATCTCAGCTTTAATGCCAGGGGGCCCTTTTAACTTTGGGGATGGCAAGGCAGTCATTTCAAAGCTGGCAAGTGGTACAGAATCTTAGAGGAAGGGGAGACACTGCCTTCCCTTGTGGGACTTCTTTACCTGTGGGATGTTTTCACCCTACTGTTAAAGTGCCTGCATTTGCCATATTGGCATCTTTTTTTGATCCAGTCCCCTTTATTTCAAGGAAGAAAACCTAAACTTGTCCTGATAAAGTGTGACTTCATCAGGCACATTCCTTTTTTTTTTAATTTTTATTGACATATAGTTGATACAATGTTAGTTTCAGGTGTACAGCAAAGTGATTCAGTTATGCACATACAGACACATATATTTTCTCTTCAAATTCTTTTATTGTATGTTACCACAAGATATTGAATATTGTTCCCTGTGCTATCCAGTAGTCCTTGTTGTTTATCTATTTTATATACAGTCATGTGTGTCTGTTAATCCCCAGCCCCTAATTTATCACTCCCCTGCCTTTTCCCCTTTGGTAACCATAGTTTGTTTTCTGTGTCCGTGAGTTTTTTTTTTTTTCTAAAATGTCCAGAAGCCCTGGAGCGGCACTGGCTTCTGCATGCAGGTAGACACTTACCCTCTCCATCCCCGTCCCGGTCTGTTAAATGGGGGGAGTCCTCATTCCATCCCTGCTGCCCATCAAGACTTGTGATGAATGGCCCATTAGTTGGTACAGGTGGGACTACTTTGAAAACAGCAAATGGCTATTAAAATATAAAGCCTTATTATATAAGCTGTGTATAATGCATCAGCAAATTGTATTTGATTTGAACTAATGTGGTTTCCCTGATGGCAAGGAATGGAGACTTCAGAATAGTAAAGAGTCTAAAATTGATGGCCAGGGGGTATGATTATTTAAAATGAGCCCCAGTGTTGTCAGCGAGAGAACTCTGGCTTTGCAGAACGGGGCCCCCATTGTGCCCCGATTTTCCTTCTTTGTGCCTGTGAATTGCTTGCAGTTTTGTTCTTTAAAGAGATAATACTGCATCACCTTGTCAGATGAGAAGAAAAGAGCGGTTATTTGTTGTCTGAGTGGGTTTTGTTCATGTTTAAAGATTTTAACGAAGTCCGTTTTAGACAACACCATCATCTAGCTGAGAAAATAAAGGAGACAGAGTAATTTTTGATGGTGACTGCAGTTAAGGTTGGCAACTTAGTCACACTCATCACCTTAAAAGCCTGCTCTGGCTGACGGTTCTTCTGCGATCAAGGAGCCTTCTTACGTTTAGATGATCGCAGCCTCCGTATTCAGAGCTGAGCGTTTAGTTCAGTGAACGTGCAGCGTGTGTAAAACTGCAGTTCTGTTGCCACGAAAAAGATAGCCTGGACCCTGTGAGGATGTGTCCACCCGACAGAGAAGATGGAAGTACAAGTTTGTAAGTGGTTAGGAGTCCGGTAAGTGACCCGCACGTGTGGCCCGAGGCGGAATTCAGGGAGCTCGCAGGTCCCGCGGCCTGAGGATCTCAGAGCACGTTTGTGGGATGGAAAGGGGCTTTGAAGGATGAGCGATGTTAGAATTGGTCTCCTCCCAGATTCCCGTGTTCTTTTCAGACCTGTTTGTACTTTGTTATCATAACCTTAGTTATAACCTGTGTCCAATAAGAATTAAATTTTGCCTCATAATGACCGTGTGACACTTTTTTTTTTTAAACGCACTTGCTGTTTTGCAACAACTGTGGAAGGAAAACAAAGCTTTCATGATTTTCATTTTCCAGATGAGGAATTTGAGCCTAAACTTTGTCCACAAAGCAAGTAGGTGGCAGAAGGAAAAACAATACACGGCTTGGGTCACACTGTGGATTTATTTCGTAGATAAAGGACCAGCATGTCCTCTTCACTGTGGAAAGAAATTCAAATCTAAAAGGATTAAGAATTTAGGATTTTAAAATAGTGCAGACAGTAAATTGAAAACACAGACGTGGATGGAGCTTTGCGTATCTGTCTATATTGGGGTGTTTATAACTGTTTCATAAATATTTGTTGTAGCTGATAGACCTTTAACACTGGATTGGAGTTTTGCATTCAGTCACTTAGAATTGGAATATGATATGAACAGGGCAAACGTATAATCAATTACGCCGTTATAAAATAATTCTGTCATTCATTCATATACCCAGAGAACATTATTTATTGTGCACTTATTATGTGCCAGAAGCTGGTCTCAGGTTTTGGAATACAGAGATGACTCAAAAAGGAATTATCTACTGGAGGAGACAAAAGAGAGAAACTTGTAAACAGGTAGCTCCAAATTACAGTAAGTCCTTCCACAGAGTTGGGTGAGTGTGAAGAGCACTGAGGCTTGGGGGCTTCATCTGGGGGTGGGGGCGGGAAGGAAGAGGAGGCACTTTGCTGCCCGAGACCCTCACTCCAGCTGCAGGAGAATGTGGAGACAGACCCCCCTGGAGGAGGGTGCCCGGGTCCACGCTGGGAGGATGTTCTGTTCTTAGACGCAGGCTGAACGTTTTCTGGCAGGTGGCCAAAAGCCATCAGGCTTTTTGAGAAAGAGGGCAGATTTGACCTTCCTTGAGGGCTGTGATTTTCTTTCCTCTCCCTGAAATATCTTTAAGAACAGCCAGTTGAGCATGACCAACTTTGCTCAGGAAGGACATCCACAGATTCTCACAGATCGTGCGTGGGTTTATTTCCCTTCTTGATCGATAATGGATGCAGTTAGATAGATGACTGGGGAGCCGGGAAGGACAGAGGCCTCCTAGCCGGGGTTCCCAGAACGTGGATTTCGTCAGCAAAGTCAGTGTTAAAACCAGGCAGGAACTGAATGCACCTGCAGATTTTCATCGGACCAAGACACGGTGCTAAATGCAAACAGACTATTGAACAAAGCTACCACCCCTGCCGTCCTGCTGACCTGAAAGGAAACACCCTACAAGGCCAGGGCAGCAGAGGAGCCTCTCCATACACGTGGTTCCCGCAGAATACGTGATGCTCTGGGAAGTGCCCACTGCATTCTTATTGTGGTTGCTTTTAACTTATTTTTAGATTTTATAAATGCTTTTAAAGATGTGATTTAGTTTTCTCTCTTTACTGTATACAGTTCTAGGCCAAATGCAGCAGAGTCATCCCCAGTTTCCACCTCCTCAGCAGCTGATTTTCAGGTGTTCCCTTGACTTCCTCTGCAGACGGGGAGCTCACTACTCCTTTTTCCCGCAGGTACTGGCACAGCACGGCCACCTATGCCATAGCCACTGAGGTGAGTGGGGGCCTCCAGCACCTGCCCCCCGCCCATCACCCGATATACCAGTGGCCCAGGGACTTGCTCAAGCCCGACCTGGTGCTGCTGCTCACAGTGAGCCCCGAGGAGAGGATGCAGAGGCTCGAGGGCCGGGGCATGGAGCGGACCAGAGAGGAGGTGGAACTGGAGACCAACAACGTATTTCGTCAAAAGTAGGTGTCCTGACACGCGATGTGGGGGGCGGGTCCCTGGCCCTGGCGGTGACCCGGGATCCGCACTGACTTGAGTGGAGGAAGTGGTGTGGTTCCCACTTTCCAAACCCCAGAGGCTGGATCCCCCAAGTTAGTCCCGCTCCGTCCTGCGGGACTGTTGCCTGGCACTACAGCCTGCTTATTCTACAGCCACGGGGTGCCTGACCAGGGATCAGAGCTCCGTCCAGCGCCGGCTGTGCCAGGAGCAGCGAGAACAGAGTGGGACCACGTGCCTTTCTGGGGCTTGGCTTTCCCGGTCATGGTAGAATGGTCACGGGGACCGTCTGATGAGCTCACAGTGACCCTCACTTGTTAGGGCTTCCTGTGTGGCAGGCCTTTGGCTTCCGATGCTCTGTAATCCTTGTCAGACAATATTAACCATATTTTACAGTTTACAAAACGGAGGCTCAGAGGATGGAGTGACGTGTCTACACTTGCATAGCTCCCGAGCAGTAACACTGGGATTAAAATCAAGAGCTTTCTGATTTTGAGGCAGTCCTTTCATTTTCCTTAGAAAACCACAAATACAGTAGCAGGAACGTCTGGGCTGCGTTACTGCTTCATGGCTGAGGATGAACCAGTTCTGTGCGACTGGTTCAAAGAGCCAAAACAGAGTCGTTTATATAAATAAACAATGATTGCACTTTATCATGACTTAATGCTGTTGTGACATAAATAAAAAGCAACTCAGCTGTGTGCAAAGAAACCACGTCAAGGAGTTTGCTGGTACTAATTCAATTAAACCTCACAGCAAGGAAGGCATTATTTCCATCCCCTCACTTCACAGATGAGGAAACTGAGGCACAGAGGGGATGGGAAAGAAATGTGTCAGGTTCTCATAGCTGGGAAGTGGTCTAGCAGTGCTGTGGACCCAGACCATGGACTCCAGGCTCTTGTTTTAAGAGAATTACAGAATTCTAGTGCTTTGGTTATATGCTCAGCCCAGTCATTCCACACGCACCAAGGCTCCCTCACCCTGGAAGGAGATGTAAAATTCCGGGGAAGTTTTAGATGACGCCTAAACAAAAATACCGTATGTGCTAAGGGCCTCTGGCTGGTCTGAAATCCCTCAGGGCACAGGCTCTGCGGGATTCCTTAATCTCCTTGAGCCTCTGCTGCCTTCTCTGCCAAATGGGGATGGATGGTAGTGGTTCCCCACGTAAGGTTACTCTGACCATGAAACGAAAATGTGCAGAACGCTAACCCTTGGCAGACAGTAGGTGTTCAATAAATGCTGGCTATTGCCCATTATGTTTAATTTATCATTTATTAACTTAATGTACCAGATGTCTCCCATGGGCAGAGCAAACTGCGAAAGGGGCAGGGAAGTAAGCCAGATGGGGACCTCGCTTCAAGCAGTTTCTATGATGGAGGAAAATTACCTTCGCATGAAGAGCTGTGTTTGCAAACAGGCCAACTCTGTGCTCTCTGCTGGTCTGCAGGGTCGAGGTGTCCTACCAGCGGATGGAGAACCCTGGCTGCCACGTGGTTGACGCCAGCCCCTCAAGAGAGAAGGTCCTCCAGATGGTTTTACGCATAATCCGTAATCATTGTAGTGCGTTGTAGTTACGCCAGGCCGGGCGCCACATCTGACTAGACGGAATGCTGTTTGATCCACCCACAACAGGTTCTGAAATTTTCCCGGGATTCAATTGCATAAGCGTGTTGTGTGGCAGAAAATTGGAGACTAGACTTTCCAGTTTTACCTAAAACATTGTACTTGCTTCTGACCGATGGACCCGTTAAGACTGAGACTGGGCACCTTCCAGTGAGAGATGGTGACTGCTTTCTGCCAAGTACAACAAACGTTTTCTTGGAAAATATTTTTAGGCACATCCCCATAAAACCCCTGCAGGGTTTATCTCCTCTAGAAAGCGTGAGGGAGACAGAAGCAACCAAGAAGACCCTCCAAGTCAGTGGAAGAGTGACCAGCCTCTCCCATGCCTGCGCCGGCTCACTGATGACACCTTGATGTGCCCGCAGTTGACTTCCTGTCAGTTTTGCCTCACTCTGTCTTTGTGAGCTCGGTCCCGCACCTTAGAGCCCAGTGCTCCCAAAGATTGCGTCTGCGTGTCCCAGCTGCTGGAAGACTCTCCCACTGGCCCATCTCGTGGGGAGGAGGCACTTACCAAGAAGGCATCTGACTCGTGTTTGAGACCAACAGTCCCTGAGAGGGTCCTCTTGGTTAGCACTTTAAAGTCAAACACAGAAGAGGCCAACTCAGGGTGTTCTAAACACAGACACACCCACAGTCCTTGAATTCTGTTCTGATTATTTATATTTCTCTTCTTTCCTCTGAAAACATGGGTTTGGACAGAGCGAGTGTTTTGCACTAAAGGAGCTGCATGAATCGCAGCCAGTCCAGCAGTGTGTGTTTCTTGATGTTTACATCTTGTTTGTCCTCCGTGTCGGGGCTGGGCTTCACCAATCAAAACTGAAGCCAAGAAGCTGAGTGCAACGCTTGTTACATGTTTTCACTGGACAGATTTCATTTCTCCTGCTAAGGAAGCGCACTGGTTCCCGGAAGGGGATTTCTTAGCGTCTTGCTGTTGAAAGGCTTCTCATTACACATGAAATCAGCACTGAGAGCTGAGAAAAGAGAAAACTTAGTAGTTATTTGACCCTGGGTGAGTCACTTAACATTAATAGCCCATGTAACTTGATCTAAAAATTGATAATAATTCTTTGTCTTAAGGAGTTGGCTGAATCAGGTGATTACCTAAAATTCCTTCCAGTTCTAAGATAGATAAATCTGTAAATTATTTTAGGGGAATGTCTCGAGAAGACATTTCCCCGAGATAGTTAAATTTAAGGTGTTATCAGGTTTATCACGTGGAATCTTACAATAGAGCTTAGTATTAACTATATCATACTATTTTTCAAAAGAACTATAGGTAATGCATACATAATATATGTATGCATATAAATATGTCATTTGTCTCAGTTCAAAATATTTTTTAAGTCTGATAAATCACGTTCAGTTTCTTTAAGATGTGATATCTAACTATGCTATTGGAGTTACTTACTTTGAACATTCTGGAAAGTTTATGCTGGCAGCCTAGAAACACAGACATTTAAGTCATGACCCTTGCAAATGAATAAACTAACTGTAATTTTCTAATCTACGCTACTGTCACAGTGTGTTGATTTCTCTGAAGAGGCTCCCCCTGTGTGGCTCTTGTATAGGAAATTATTTGTGGTTAAGGAAGTGAGAATGGTTGAATTTGCAGTCAGAGTGCTTTCAGAGAAACGGGAGGGCATTTTTGTTTTGTTTTAAACATCATTTCAAGAAAGTGAAATCCCTTCCTCACTGCAGACATGACAGAGAATTTTTTTCAAATCCAGTAAGAAAACAGTCTTCATTCCCCTGGGCTCTTCCTACACTGACAGGTATATAAGATGTGTGACTATGCGGTAAGACAAGACCTGCCCAGAAACGGATGGCGCGGGATCATGTGCTTGGCTTTGATTCATTCACAGTCCAGGAGCACTTCCGTTCCTGTGATGGACCTTCAGTGTCCCTGGTGGTGGTTCTTCCTCTCCTCCACAGTAAAGGAGCTTTGAGCTCAACCAGGGCTGCCGGGAATGACATTTCCAAGGCTCCCTTGTAGCTGGAGGGACCCAGTGGCCACTTACAGGCTCTTCAGGTCATGTGTGAGCAGAAGTGACGTCAGGAACGTCAAGGGGGAAGGGCGTCCCCCTCCCCCTTTAACCCTTCACACTGCTTGGTATTCAGTGGTGGTGGTGAGGCATTTGGGGACCAAGAGACTAGGGTGACACTGTGTAGATGGAGAAGCAGCAGGATGAATGGAGACGACCTTCACTTATGAAAGATAAGGACTAGGAATGAAAATGTCAGTGTTCCACTGGAGGACGTGTCCACCTGGGGAAACTGCCATGATGCAGGCACAGCTGACACGCACAGCCTCAATTTCTTCCTTCCCTGTTTTCTTCTCCTCTTGGTGGCAGGTGTCTGGGTTGGTTGGTTTGTTGGTTTGTTTTCTACACCAATCTCCTTTTTCACTAACTCTTCTCTCCATGAAACTTCTCTCTTCTAACAGCAATTGTAAAGCATCTTAAAGATGTTTCCACCCTGAGCTCTTTTTGGAATATATACCAAGGAAATGATCAGAGATACACGTAGAAGTGTTTTATCATATCTGCATAGTGTACTTCGAGTAACTGGAATATATTTATATGCAGGCAGACCTTGCTTTATTGCCCTTCAGAGATACCGTGTCTACAAACTGGAAGTTTGTGGCAACCCTACATTGAGCATGTGTGTTGGCGCCATTTTTCCAACATTTGCTCACTTCATGTCTCTGTGTCACATTTTGGTAAATCTCTCAGTATTTCAAGCTTTTTCATTGTTATGCTATTTGTTCTAATGTTCTGTGATCAGTGATCTTTGGTGTTACCACTGTAACTGTTTTGGAGTGCCATGAGCCACACCCACGTCAGACAGTGAACTTAATCAACGGATGTCCTGTGTGTTCTGACTGCTCCACCAGCTAGCTGTTCCCCGTTTCTCTCCATCACCTTGGGCCTCCTGATTCCCGGAGACACCAGAATATTGAAATTAGGCTGATTAATAGCCCTACCGTGGCCTCTAAGTGTTCAAATTAAAGGAAGAGTCACATTATCTTCATTTTAAATCAAAAGCTAGGCATGATTAAGCTTGGTGAGGAAGGTGTGCCAGAAGGCTAGACGGGTTGACAACTAGGCCTTTTGCACCAAACAGCCAAGTTATGGATGCAAAAACAAAGTTCTTGAAGGAGGTTAAATCTGCTGCTCCAGTGAACACACAAATGATAAAAGAGTTAAACAGTCTTATTGCTGATGTGGAGGAAGTCTGGGCGGTTTGGATAGAAGATCAAACCAGCCACCACATTTCTTTAAACCAAAGTGTCATCCAGAGCAAAGCCGCAGCTCTCTTCAATTCTATGAAGGCTGAGAGAGGTGGGGAAGCTGGAGAAGAAAAGTGTGAAGCCGGCAGAGGTTGGGTCCCGAGGTTGAAGGAAGGAAGCCGTCTCCATGACATAAAAGTGCAGGTGAAGCGGCACGTGCTGATGCAGAAGCGGGAGCAAGTTCTCCAGATGATGCAGCTCAGAGCATCCATGAAGGTGGCGACACTGAACAGCAGATTTTCGAAGTAGATGAAACAGCCTTCTGTTGGTAGAAGATGCCATCTAGGGCTGTCATATCATAGCTGGAGAGGAGACGTCAATGCCTGGCTCCAAAGCTTCACAGGACAGGCTGACTCTCTTGTTAGGAGCTAATGCATCTGATGACTTGAAGTCAAAGCCAATGCTCATTTACCATCTGAAAATCCTAGGGCCCTTTAGAAGGATGCTAAATCTGTTCTGCTTGTGTTCTAGAAATGGGACGACAAACCCTGTGTACTGGGTATTCTAAGCCCACTGTTGAGACCTATTGCTCAGGAAGAAAATTCTTTCAAAATATTACTGCTCACTGACAATAAACCTGATCATCCAAGATCTCTGATGTAGATGGACAATGAGATGAATGCTGTTGTCATGCCTGCTGCCACAGCTTCCACAAACATACATATACACATACATACATACACATATATATTCCTTTTCATATTCAGCAATCCATGGATCAAGAAGTAATTTTGACTTTCAAGTCTTATTATTTAAGAAATATATTTTATAAGGTTATACTGCCATAGACAGTGATTCCTCTGCTGGATGTGGGCACAGTCAGCTGAAAACCTTGTGGAAAGACCTCACCATTCTCGATGCCGTTAAGAACGTTATTGAGCAAAGGGAAGTGGCAAAATATCCACATTCACAGAAGTTTGGAAGCAGCTGATCTCAACTCTCCTGGGTGACTTTGAGGGGGTTCAAGACTTCAGTGGAGGAAGTAACTGCACATGTGGTGGAAACAGCAAGAAAACTAGAATTACAAGTGGAGCCTGAGGACGGGACTGAATTGCTGCATCTCATGGTGCAGCTTGAATGGATGAGGAGTTGCTTCTGATGGATGAGCCAAGAAAGTGCTGTTCTGAGATGCAGTCTCCTCCTGGTGAAGAGGCTGTGAAGAGGGTTGAAATGATAACAAAGCGTTTGGAATGTGACATGAACTTAGCTGATACAGCAGCAGCAGCGTTTGAGAGGATGGACTCCAATTTTGAAAGAAGTTCTGCGGTGAGTGTAACACTGTCAAACAGCGCTGCCTGCTGCAGAGATGTCCTCTGTGAAAGGAAGACTCAATCCATGCGGCAGACTTCATTCTTGTCTCATTTTAAGCAACTTGCGCAGCCTCCCAGCTTCCAGCAACTACCACCCTGATCAGTCAGCAGCCATCAACAGACCCTCCACCAGCAAAAAGATTAGACTCACTGAAGGCTCAGGTGAGGGTGAGTGTTTCTATTTTTTAGCAATGAACTTCTTTTAAATTAAGGTCAGTATATTGTTTTTCAAAATATAATGCACTTTCAACAAACGACAATATAGTGTAAGCACACTTTTTATACCACTGGGAAACTGCAAACTTCATGTGACTGGCTTTATGGTGATATCTGCTTTATTGAGGTGTTCTGGAACCAAACCCACAATATCTCTAAGGTGTGCCTGTGTGTATAATGTGTGCTTGTGTAGAATATGTCCTGATTAAGTACATTAGGGTCAATCCTTTTAATGAAACGCTAAGCAGAATGCACCTAGGAAGGTGTGAATTACTAGAATCGCTTTTCTCTCAGTGATGGCCAGTGACTTAAATTTCAGCAAAAAATGAAGATAAAGCAAAATGCACCCCACCCCCTACTTTTAAATTGAAGTACAGTCAGTCTACAATGTTGTGTCAGTTCCCGGTGCGCAGCCCAGTGCTTCAGCCCCTTTGAACCACACACAAGGTCGGCGGACTGAGAACGCAAACTCCTCTTAGAACTGCAGGGTGGCTTTGGATGCGCAGACAGTCAAGAATGTTTTATGCCTTTGGTGGTCTTCATTTTCAAGCTGTTTTTCTTTAAATTCTGAACCCCGGAGCCAGACACTAAGCAGTGCTTCATGTTGGAGTATATAACCACTAGCAAATTTATTTAATCTTCAGGCTTCTGTAAATACAGCTTTGTTCATATACTGAATTTTCTTAGTATGAACAGGAAGAGGAGAAATGGGTGCCGGCCTTTTTTTTTCCCCCTTCACTTTAAAAGTGCAGCCATTTCATGAAATGCTTTCAGCCTACAGCTGTAATGTCCCTTTGTGTTGTTTATAAATAATCTGGTCTTTCTCATGAGCAGCATAACTGGTTAGTAGACATAAAAATATTCAGTCCTACCCGATTTAAAACTTAGTATAATTTGATCTTTTAACAGGCCCTTAAGGCAATGCATGCTCTTTTTTTTAGAGAGAAGCTCAGGGTTTCAGATTTCTCAGCCTTCAAAGGTCCACGCTGACTGGCCTCTCCCCAGGATGCCATCTGGGTGCCTGGGGCCAAAAGTGTCATTTAAGCATCCCTGGTGAGGAGGGGAGGAGGGTCTGCGGTCACATTGTTCCCTCTGACTGGGCATGGACTGCCTGCCTGTGTAGCCAGTTCCAGTCTGTTTTTTGTGGACATTTCTGACCAACTTGGGTCTCCTTGGTGCTCGGATCTCTCGAGTCTTTGTCTTCCATCCAGCCCCGCCCACTGTCCTTTTCGAGGCCAGCCCCAGTACCACGTCCACCCCTGGGGTCCACACACTCTTAGGGCATGTTCAAGTGTCAGGGAACTGAGAACAATCAAGAAAGCAGATGTCAAGACCTCCTTTCCTCATCATGCTGCCCAGGCACGTTTATTCTGGCTTGACCTGGCTCCAAGCTGGCTCAGAGTCACTCAAAATGCAGGGAGGGGTGCTGTCCTCCCCATCTCCGAACTGCTGCTCTTGGTTCCAGGGCAAAGCTTAGGGACCGGAAATGGCGGGGCATGTACCTCGCCATCTCACACTTCACTTTTTCCCTTAGGAAGCAAACAGTCTTCCATCTGCCTACCAGTTTCTGAATTTCACAACAGTGTAATTTGGGGGTCTGTTTCCATCCGTTTTTGCTGGATCCTTGGTGGGTCCTTTGAGTTTGGAAACTCAGGTCCTTGCACTGTTACAATTTTCTTGGGTTGTTTCCTG